CCCCTTTGATTAGATTTGATGTACTCTTCTGAAACTGGAAAATCATAAGGCCAGCTTGCAACTTCTTGATTCATCTGTAAATTTGGTTAATATGATTAGGCACAAAGTTTACGAAATATGTGTAATGCCTTAAAATGTGATGTCCATGATAGATCGTAAAGGGTGCAAATTATATCTTAAGCGAATTCACAATATGAGAGCAAAAAAAAGTTTAAAAGGCTTATAAAAACGAGTTCAGAATTAACTGTTGCGAAATTGTCATTAGGGTTAAAACCCAATGGACAAATACCTAAATAGCTGAACCAAGATTGTTACATATCTAAACATGTCATGTTTAATGCTCAGAGTACTGAATAAAGATAGTCGATTATTTTTCTTATTTAAAAAAAAATGGACTAAAAAAGGAAAAGTAAGACACATAAACTGAAATCGAAACGATATAAAATAGTAAAAACTGTATACATACTCTTGTCTTAGCATCATTCCACAGTATAGAAGGATTTTCCTTAGCTGCAGCATTTGAATTTAAATACACAAAAACAGGACCAATAACTTTTTTCCATGGTTCTCCTTGTCCAAATTTAATTGCTAAATCCTCTCCAGCATAATGTGTACTCACAAATATCTTGCAATTATGAATAAATAAATAAATAATTAGTAGCAAGTTACATTAATTATTATATATATATATATATAATTTAATTAAGTAATTAGTGACTTACACTAAGTACAGTTGGACCAATATGTGTAGTAAGGTCTTGTCTAAAAGGTCCTCCAGTACGATATTCATTACTTGGATTAATCATCCAAAATCCTAATGGTGGACTAGTAGAACTAACCCATCCATAAACTTTACCATCTTTATTATCACTTGCATAGAAATACTTGTCATCCACCTGCATAATTAAGTGTAAAAAATCATCATTAAAGTATTATTAATTATATTGTTATCAACTATCAATATGTACACCATCAAAAATCGTGACAAATTGAATAGGATCATATATCTCCACCCTTAATCTGGAATTTAGAATTTAGCATTTGGTTGTAGTTTTGAAAATTGTAAGTTTTGAATTTAAAGTTTGGATTCTAAAGTGGATCATATGTACATATTCAGTTAATTTCTCAATAAACATATTGAATTTTGTCGAATCTGTACTTTCTATGATAGCTAGCTTTGGACTTGCATATAGTGTATGTGTGAAAAAATGACTTGATCGAGTATGTAAATTATATTCCTTCTGTTTCATTTTATGTGACACTATTTCTTTTTTGGTCAGTTCCAAAAAAAATGTCATTTTTCTTTATATGGTAAGTAAATAAAAGTACAATTTCTCATTTATCCTTGTTGAATCACTTAATTTTAATGATAGTACTTAATACATTTATTAGGAGAGAAAAAAATGAATCTACATTTTGACTTTTTTTTTAAGGACAATTTAATAAATATTTTAAAGTTTTCATTTATTTCTTAAACTTCATGCACAGTCAAATTATCACGTAAAATGAGACGGAAAAAATACTAATTATAGAATCGTACCTCTCCATTTAAATTTGGATTAGTCGAATTAGTGAGATGAACAGCTTCTTTATAGTCAAGAACTTGACCCTTCTTTCGATCCATTGATGTTGGCATGACACGTTGCCTCTCATCAGAAACAGCCATATAATAAAACCTATATACATAAATATACAACTTCAATATACTATATATTTATTTTTATCCAATTCAAAATTAAAATAGTTATTTTAAAGAGCAAATTACATAAATCATAAGATACAGTATATTTTATGCATGATACATTAATCTGATTTATTTTATAAATGATACACTAATTTGATGAGTGAGATACACTAATTTGATGTGCAAAATACATTTTATACATGATACACTAATCTGACGCACGAGATACACTAATGTGATGCGCGAGATACATTATTTGGAAGCACGAGATACATTAATATAATGTGCGAAATTTAGGAATTTTGGAAATTTATAAAACTTATAAGAGATAATGATAATAAGTAAACTAAAAGGTGAAATTTTTTCATAATTAATCCTATTTTGAAAGAAATATCTTTTTCATTAATGATATTTTAGACATTAAAAAAATAAAATACATACATGTTTTCTTGAAGCTTGAACACCAGCCTGAGATTTTGTATATACGAAATTGGCCATCCTTTTAAACGTTCAACGATTGAATACGTATAAAATCCAGATGTATTGCGTAGTATTATAAACCTGAAATTAATTATTCTCTATATATCAATATATTGTTATAGGAACCAAAAGATAACATCATGATAGAAAAGTTGATCGTATATTCAGACAATATAATATTATTTTTGCGCTATTAAAATCGCATAAAATATAATTTCGAAAAAAGGAAATACTTACCTTTTATCAATGTTTAGGGGAGGTTCATTTGATTGAGAAGCATTCCATGTTCTTTTAAATGAAATTTCTGTCTGATTTTCATTATTAATTATCACCTCAAAACTTGTTCCTGAAAGCCTGCAAAATAAAAAATATATTTAACTTAATTTTTAATTTTATACTATTATCGTATTATCGTATGAATAGAATCCTTTCGTTTTTAATTATATAAGTCTCGAATTTAATATTAATGAACTCTACATAGTGTTAGACTTTTAACAAACACTAATTCTTAGTAGATTTCGTCAAAAATCAGACTATTGAAAATGTTATTCTTATTAATACAGAACGTCTATTGAAAATTCCCATGAAACAGATTTTCTTATAAAAATAATATTTAGTACACCGAATTATCCTTTAATAATCGAAGAAAAAACTTACTTTGCTCGAGTAGTACTAGGTCCGGTGTTATTCCAAATAATATCCCAATACCTGAAATAAACATAATAAAGTATTATAAGTAATTATCTTCTAAATTAGATAAAAATCTAAATTATTAATCGAAGTTTAACGATTACTTAATTTACCCTCTATTGGTTTCTACATTGTGGGTGGATAGTAGATTTTGGACCCCACCATATGATATGCCAGTGACATCACCATGTGGTTTTGATAAAGTTATATTAAAAATTTCATTGCTCATCGTGATCTGTAAAAATTTAAATTTGGGTGATAAAATTAATCAACGTATCGATATTAAATATCGTTATTTTATACTAAGATCTAATTAAAAAGAGTAAACTTATATACATGTTTAGGTTGTATGTCCAATTTGAGTGCTGATGTCATTGTCGATCTTTGCCTGTTTTAAGAAAAAAGAAATAACAAAGTTAGGTAAATGTTTAATATTTATAATTTAATTGAATAACAAACTTAAGCAATTAATTTTCGAAATTTAAATTATAAAATAAAAAAGATAATGTGACTTCGAAAATCGTCTTTATATTATAATAAAAAAGATAATGTATGCCCTTCTTTCATATTCCAATTAACGAAATTATTTTTTTAAAAAAAAATTAAATTTTATATGATGTGCCAACATTACAAACAAAACAAAAAATTCTTACCCTAAACCCAAAATTTCCTCGATAAATAATATAAGAGTAGTTTTGATCCTTTTTCGTCGAATAAAACTGACATAAACTTACCCATTGTGAGGATGACAATCAGCTACAAGGAAGAACAACAAAGCAACCATAGTCACATCCAACACATGTACACTTAATTGCTTATATCTCCCCATTATCTGCATTTTCACTATAAAAAAATAAACTTTTTTAAAAAAAATTGATTCAATTAAAAATATAGAATATAATAAGATCAAAAGAAAAGTACAAGGTGACTTTTTTCGTCTATCAAATCCTTAATGAACATATATAGTTGTATCTGATACTGATATAATAATCGAGATATATAAAAGTTAGTCAGATCTCATTGTCACGAGGGTAAAAACATGAAAATTGATCCATATAATAACAAAAAGAAAGAAAAAAATTAGAAAAGAAGTTTCATACCTCTAATTTGCTAATCTTCTGTATATGTAAATACTATATTTGTACTGTATTATGCTTTTATATAAGTTTTGAAATCTGTCATTAAATTAGATAATTTTCATTTAAAGCTAAATCTTAGAGGAGATTATATTTGGCCAATAATAATGAAAGAAACAAGTCATATTTTCTTAAGGAAAGTCAAAGTAACTATAGTAGACAATAAATTAGCTTTAAATAAAGTAGATACTAAATCATTCCAATAAAATGCCAAATCAAATTTTTATATTAGATTTAATTTTTCAATATGTTCTTCATTTCAAGAAAAATAAAATATTGCCAGTTAATGGATTTCAAAAGAGGAAATTTCATAAATAAGGAGTAAAATCAGAGTTGTAAAATAAACGGATTGCGTTAAATTTAGGAAGGAATTGGTTAAAATGAGCTGAGTTAATAAGTGAGCGAATCAATAGTTACTTAGGCTGATATACAACTCATAATCTAACCTCGCTAATTCTTACTAAATTAGTAAATATTAAGAGAATTTTACACAATTTTCATAGTGTTATAATTAATTATATCTTATATCTGCTCTTTTCCTAGCTAATTATAAAAATTCTTTAAATTCAATTTGGATACATCCCAAAATAACAAGATACATCGTGTTTCGATTTGGATGCTTTCTTCAACATTTTGATACATTACGTCTCGATTTTGAATATATCACTTAACGTCCCGATAAGTCGAATAAAGCGATGTATCCGAAAATAGGAGTGACTAGGATCTTTTGTAAAAATTTTAAATGATAGAAAATTTTTAAAAATATGATAAAAGAAATTGTGTATAAGTAATTTTTTTCAATTTTTAATTTCTTTGTTTCTACTTTTATATTTTTTCAGTATCTAATAAAAATTATTATTTTTTAATTACAACTCGATATAACATGTCAAAACAAAAATAATTTAATAAAATTTCTCATACGTCAATTTAAGCTATATATCAAGCTAATTTCAATATGCTTAAATGACCTAAGCTGATAAAAATAAAAGGGAATAATAACTCATCCAAATAAAAATAGTTTAAACAAATTATATTTTTAAAGGTTAATTTTATCACGTCTCAAACAATAATTATACAAAATGTTGTGATTGAAGTTATATGATGATCTTAGAGAAATTTATATTATATTGTATATATTAAATTGGAGGGTAAAAATATTCCTATAGTTAAATTTTCAATAAGACGTCCTTTGGAAATTTGCATTTTTTTTAATAATATTGCATAAATTTGACTTAATCAGGCTAGAAAAACTATTCATATTTATTGTAAATAAAATAAATATAAATATATTGGATGCTAATATCAATTGAGTCTTATCAACAATTTTACTTGGTCTTAAAAGTATATTATTATAAGTATGACATATATATACTTAATATGTGCTTAATTCACTTTTCGCTTTTTTAATTATTTCAACCCTTGTCAATCTTGTCATTCTTTCACTTTTAAATATAGTATTTATAACAAAAAAAAAAATAGTTAAACCGTGAATCAAATAACATAGTCATTTTATTACTGATTAGGTCCTTCTAAACGAATATAATCATACATTATACCTTCAAATGGCGAGAGACCACTTGATTGTATAAGAAAAATAGTGTTTGCTCCATTGACAAGCAATTTGCCTTGTATTCCAATGCTATAAAGAAAATATAATCCATGAATTCCATGTCTTGCGATAGCATTACTTCCTCCTATATTTCCAGTTGAAAAATGAGGTTCTTGTAATTTTTCATCGTTAATAATAAGAACCTTTAAAAAAAAATCAAAAAATAAACTTTAGCTCATTCGAGATATAATATGTTCTATACTTCTCAAATTATTCAATAATAATATCATATATATTTTTATAAAATATTATAATCTTAATAATATTTTTAAAAATTCGAACAACATCAGAAATAATAAAAGCCAAGAAATTAAAGGGGATATAAATACATACATGTAGGTCAGCTTCCTCAGCTGCAGCAAGAGCCAATTGGATTGTGTAATTTGAGGCAATATTAACATTGGCAAGGTTAAATATAATTTTCCATGTAGTACCGTTATATGTATTAATTCCTATTTTCCTGCAAAAAAAAAAAGACCAATTAATTTTATATTAAAATATTTTATCTAATGATTTTTTAAAAAAAATGGTCGATATATATATACAATCAGATTTTTTTTTTATTATCAATTAACAATCATTCGTGTTAGGTTTTTCATGGAACTGATCTTTCATGTTATGTTTTATGTAAATAACAAAAATTTACTATAGCAATCAAAATATATCGAAGCAAATGACGTTATTATATAGAAATTTGACTGTATAAATGAGCTTACCTAGTAACTTGAGCATAAAACCAATCTTTAGAGTAATTGCTAGTCCCAACATTGTAGACAAGATCATTTTTAGGATATAAAACACCATATTGTTCCCACAAACCATATTGTCTAAATCTGCAAACCAAAATTTAGAGTAAATAAACAACAAAAAGGATTACAATTAATTAGTACTTTAATAAATAAAATAAAAATATTTATGAAACTTACTTTGTTTCAGAATTATTTTTGTATTTGTGAACTTTGAATTGTGAAGGTGGATTTGGAATAAAAAAATTCAGCAGCACTTCTATCTGGTATACCAATTTCCCAAATTGTATCTCCATTTCTTGGAGGTTTATAAATCAAAGTACCTAATTTAATATTTGAACCTATAATGAAAAAAAATAGAAATTATTGTTTAGAATTAAGATTTAGTAACAGAATGAGTAATTAAGTAAAAAAAAAGTAAAATTAACCTGGAGTAACTTTTATATTTGAAGTGTATTTGTAATCCCCGATAAAACCTGGAACTGTTGCATACAAATTATATGTACCGAATATGACATTTTCTATGATGAAATTTCCTTTACCATCAGTTTTAGTCCAAAACTGATACCCCTGTTGATTAAAAAAAAAATAATGAAATTAAAATATTAATAAATTTACATAATTAAAATATTCTTTAACTTTTTTTTATATAAATATTATACTTAATTAATTTTACTTTGTTTTCTGTTTGCCAAGATCCAGCTTCTCCTGGTGGTGATAATCCTACATAAGCATTGGATGCTGCCACATTTTGTTTACTGATAAACCTTTTTAAATAAAAACACAAAAAAAAATATTAATCGGTTAACAAATAGATATTATTATAAATAATAATATTTGTACGTGTTCAGTATAATCTCATAAATGATAAAAAGACGTACCCGTCATTGACAAATAGCTGGCCTCTAACAGTTCCTCTTTGGTTAGATTTGATGTAGTCTTTTGAAAGTGCAAAATTCATAAGGCCAAACTTGCAACTTCTTGATTCATCTGTATATTTGGTTAACGTAATTTGACACAAAGTTTACGAATATATATATTACGGGAATATGCACATATTTGGTACATATCTTTTGGGAATATTGGGAATATTTGATTGGAATATAATCTTTGGGTAAATATCTTGTAATTAGGCATAATTGATGTAATTGGTTGTTGTTTCCTTGATTCTAGGGAATTAGGCTGTATGTAAACATATATATGCTTTGCACTGTTAATGACAGAAGCAAGCAATTGCCATTAATTTCTTCATGGTATCAGAGCAGGTTGATTTTTTCTACCAAAAAAAAAAAAATTAAATAATAACTTT